TTCTGCTTTAACAGAAACCATGTGTGCAGAGCTGCACAGAGGGTCTGCAGACTCAGAAATATGGAGACTGTAAAGGGAAGTGACTGAGCTTTAACAATTACAATGCAGGAAATGCTCTGATGAATACAGTGAATTACAAACGTACATGCTGTTCGACCACAATATTCGACTGAAGCTTTGGTGCCTCATTTAAAAAAAAATCTTAGATTGATACTTGAGCTGACAGTGTGTTGTGTATGCATAAAAAAACCTTCCTTATGCAGGTTCTCTATTGATTGACGGCACCTGCCTCATAATCAGTGATTTCCCCTTATATAACGCTAGCACAAATGAGGGTTTAGTCAGGAATAACCATGGTAACTTCTGTCTAATTCGACAAACTATTTATAGAGCAGTGCGTCTGTGTCTGGCAATTCATCATTCCTATCACATTGTCCATAATGCTAATGCCGGGCTGGGGAGCATCCCAAACTGCAGTACCCTGACATAACCAGCAGGAAAATCACTTAAGCGAAGGGCAGCCGACTCTTTTTGACTCAGACTGCTCCACCATTATCTTCTGTCTTCATCTGCAAAACCTCGACTGTCAATGGACCGTCTGATGATGTGGAGAGGGAGGATGGGGGCTGAAGAGGACCTTCCTCTCTGGATGACCCATTCTGGGCAGCCCAAGTGGTCGATAGTTGGGTGGCCCTTCTGGCATTTTCGCAATTTCCCCCACTGGTTCTGTGTGACAAACTATTTGGTGCAGTCAGGTTATGTATTTTCCTTCTATGCTGACTTAAAGAGGGGTTGGCGTTAATAAAAGAGAAATTACTGCAAACTATAAGGTTTCCTGATGGACAATAAAGTAACTGCTGCAACGTGTAGCTGCTGTTAGCCAGTTAGCTTAGCTGCACTGCTCAGAGCACCACATCATGCACCACACCAGAGCTTTGGGTCGCAGGAGCTCCTGCTCACAACACAATATAATACTTTATTATTTTAAATGTCTCTTTTTATCAATATCTTTCTCTCAGAAACCTGCCATAAATAACAGATACAGATAGACATGATAGGGAATTTTACATTATAACTCTGTTTGATGTTGTAATATTGACATCAGGGCAGAAAGGGGGATAGCAGCGGGAATACTGCTCCTCTTTCATGTGTTTCCCAATAAAGAAAAACCTTCTTGTTGTTTATTCTGCGTCAGGATGGAAGAGTAATATTCAGGAAATAAAGGTGTGTTTGTGATAAAACTAATAATTATTGTTTTATCTTCAACATCACAGTAGAAACTCAGTTCTTTATGAAAAATATAGACAGGAAACTTGAGCTGACATCAGTGAACATTTGCTGTCAACAGGAACTGGCCACCAATCACCAAACCAGACAGCGGAGTTTGATTCAGGCAATAAGACAAATGTCTGTCAGCGTGGAAGAGGTGATTTTCTCTGCTGCGCCCTAAAATAAGAGGTTTGTTTCCATCCTGGAATCTCATGCGGAGCGGCTTTCAGCACCAGAGTTAATGTCTCTGAGATGAATGAGCTTAGAGTTTCCCAAGAGTGTATTTTTATCTTTATCCCACGACATCACAGTCCTACACACAGTGGACATATAAATGTCCATACTGAGAGTCCCCCTAAAACAGAGTGAGTTGGAGGGATATGACGTATTCTGAAACCTTTTTAAATAATGGTACAAAAGTAAAGAAAGGACATAATTTAACAAACAAAATTTACACTTCAACATATTACTAAAGAATTTATTCCAAACTGCAGATTTCTACTCAGCAGCCAGGAAACTTGCTGAGCATCAGTTAGTTCAACATATTGTTCCAGTTAGAGACACTGGTCAACAATAAGCACGCAGAAGTCCCAATGAAGCAGATTATCCTTAACGACGTCTCATAAAACCAATCTGGCTCGCTGTTAAAAAGTTTACCTGCTCATTTATTTCATGTCATGACCTCAAAACCTGTTCATTCTCTACTTGACTTTACAATTACTTAATATTCAGTGTTTCATTCGGAAAGAAATGTTTTAATGTATCTGAAGTGTCCTCACCTCACCTCATACCTGTCTCCCTTTTTCATATGATTTATTACTACGTAAACGCAAACATGGAGCTAAACCTTTCACTCAACCGCTCGGCATTTATGTACCAAACAACCTCAAATACTCAGCTGAAACAGAGTTTCAACACACTCTCTGCTTAATCTGCTGCTTCAAAGGCAAGTTGAAAGGTCTGAGAATGCAGGGATGAGCCTAGAGCACAGAAAAGAAAGGAAGCAGAGGACTGACAGACTAACACCTGAAGCGGTTACGACAAGCCTGAAACTCAGAAACAGGCGCAGCGGGATCAGCTGTCAGTCAGTGAGCGCGGTGCGAGGGGTTGTTCGTGAGGCTGAACTGTCCCCCATGCAGCAGGACTGCATCTGTCCCACATTACCACTGTCTCAAGAGCCAGATTAGCTCCTGGAAACACAAAACATAATGTTGATCTCAGTCAACATGTTACTGGAGACTCTCAACCTCCAAGAGCTGAAAAGAGGAGAACATTTCAAACAATGTGATGGATGGAGCAACAGTGCAGCGTCAGTTCAGCAAACAGGCACTGTTTGTTGATTCTGGACCTCACTGTTTATTTGGGATTTCATCAGTTTCCACTTTGGATCTCTAAGAGGTTTAATATCAGGGAGGGTGACATCACGGTCTGTGTTATGGAAAATTGATTTCTTTGTGAATCTCTGAGAGAGTTTGATTATTAAGTGGTTACTCTAACCACAAACAACATCATGTTGCCATGTTTCATCACGACATTGAATTGTGCCCATGATGTTGTTTGTTCAGGGGGTAAGAACACAAAAGTCCCCATCAAGTGTTTTATAACATAAGTCTTAAGCTATGATTCATGTATCCTCCAGTATCTGGCCCAACCTTGACAGAAAAGTCATTTTTTAGGTATTTTCAGGAATTCTTAATGATGTTTTAGAGTTTTCAATCTCCTGAAAAACAATAAATCCTAAAGTTTATAACCTTAGGGTAACAGATCTGACTCTATTAGAAACTTCTCAAACATACTTTTCAACATATTGATAGGCTTTCATAGAATATAAATATATCGATTGCTTTTCATTAGAATTTAAAGTAAATTATTTTATATTTATTATTATTATTTCCTAGACATATTTGCTTTTGTTGCATGTTTTTATTGTTTTTCTGTGTGTTTGAGTTTCTGAACTGTTTTGAAAATGTAACTTCTGACTGGACAAAAAAGAAAAACTGTACTGATCCTCCATTGCAATATTATTATGGTTGTGAACTAATTATTAAATGAGGGGGAAATGAAGAGTGAGGAAGGAAAGAGCTGGAGAAGGAAAATATGATAAGTTGGATGAGAGAACTGGGGGTTAGGGTTGGAGGGGGAAAGGTAATAGCGGAGATAAAAACAGAAAGAAAATAAAGGAGGGATAATGTCGGGCCAGGAGAAGATTGAAGGGGATAGAAAATAAAAGTCAGACGACAGAATGATGTATACAAAGAGGAAAAATTGAGAAATGGAGGAATAAAAAGAGAGATGAAAAAGAGAAAAGATAAATCCGAAGTAGGGGTTTCTTTTAAGTGCAGAAAGTGGCTGAGTGGAGGCTATGAGCTCTAAGACAAAGAAAAACATTCTCTTGTTATCAGTGTTTACCCACAGTGCACCAGTAGATGCTGCAGTGGATAAGGCAGCAGACCATTAGGAGCTATTGACCTCTGGCCGTCTATCTCCACCCGACTGCCTGTTTACTGTAAGCGTTTGACTAATGACGGCAGAAACAGTCGTCGAGAGCCGCAGTTTGTCCTCCAGACAATAAATATTCTCAAGAACGTCTTTAAAGCTGAAGACACGATGGACAGCAGAAGAAAACAGAGTGCTGTTACAGGACAGCCTTGAAGACAATTTTCCAAATCATCATTCATCTTTAGATTCACAGGCAGCCACTGGTGGTGTTTCATTTTCAACATCGCTGCAAATTTACAGAGAAAAGTCTTATTTTGGGTGCTGAGGCTCTGGAACAACCAGCCTGATAACAGCAGGTCACCTGAGTCAGAGATCTTTAAAAAAGTCCTTTCTTAAAACATACTTCACAGTATACAGTCTTTTATTCCTTCAAATGTTTTTATCTAAATTCTTGGTGTATCTGGTTGAAATCTTAATTAAAAACTTTATACAAGCAGATGTCGAGTTCCTATCATTGCTCTCTCTTTTTCAAAGCAACAACCATGAACTATGAAGTCTCCCTTTCCCTGTTTCATAACCCCAAATTCCACCAGACGCATTCCAATGGCACTCGTTGTGCCCGTTCTAGACAATGTACGTACGTCCCAGAAGTCTCCACAGAGATTAATCAGCTGGTCTATTTTTGAGCAGATCACGTTGGCAGGAAGTCAGACAGAAACAGCATATTCTCGGTCAATTTTTAAAATAAATTCAGTGTGCAGACTCCAGATCGGATTTCACAATACATCAACATTGTAGCATGAGACCAAAATTCATCTCAATCAGTGAGAGGAGATTTTAAGCAGAGGAACCCAAACACAGGCAGGCAACACGCTTCTGAAGCGCTCTCGTGGGATTTGAAGACGCACGGATAATGGAGCCAAACCACGTCACAGACATGACGACATAAAGCCGTGTGCGGAGGAACACTCTGTTCCTCTCACATCCACAGGCATCAAACCAGCAGGAAGAGAGTAGTTAAGTAGTAAACCCAACACCAACCCCAGTGGTCGTTGTCTGCCGTCTGACCTCAGGGGGCAGCAATGAGCCCATTATGATTTGTTACACCACAATGATGTGAAGAAGCCACACCATAAAACAAAAAAGTGAGATTTATACTTTTGTTTCCAAACAGTATTTTCCTGTATCTGTAAAGGTGTGTTAATGTATGTGTGTTACACCGTTACAGCACAATCAAGGATGAAAAACTAGAAGCTAAAGTGCGCCTAATAATCGATGATTGTCTGACTCACCAGTCTCTGCAGGATCCGCTTGCTCTTGTCGTCGGTGCAGTAGTCAGACAGGATGCTCCTGTGGACCAGAACTAGGCCATTCAGGAACAACCAGGAGCCGAACCAGAGTAAAGCGAACACCAGGGTCCCCCGACGGGACCACAGTCTGAGGCCAAGCCACCGGAGCAGGCACAGCCCGCCACTGCGACCACCTCCACCTGACACCAGTCCTCCAGGGAGCATGGCCGCGGGTGGTCGCTGTCTGCACAAAAGTGTCCTGACGGGTTACAGAATAATCTGCTAAAAGGTGGTCCAACTAATGACAGAAGCTACAGAGCTCCTGATTCACAAACGTTTATTTATATTTTGCAAATAGTAAAACAGAAAGGGGAATAAATACTTATGAGCTCATTAAATGAGACTCTTAATAGATCAATCTATCAATTCCCATGTTGCATGAAGTAAACTTGATGAATTTGATGAATAATGAATTGTATCGTCAGCATGTCTTGCTACACCAGTTAGGAGGCATTAGTGCCTTCATAGCTCCCATGAAGCTGTGCAACCAGTGGGGGTCACAGCTGTAATCCAAGATCCAAGACTTTCAATCATGAAAAATACCCATACCATCAAAGGCCTGTTTCTCCTCAGCTTGCCTGGTCTCAATGAAAACTCAGTGAAAGGACCGGAGTCCTGCTGTGTCCCCGGAAAAAAAGCCCAAATAGTTCCGAAAAATGAAAACAGCCAAAGAGAAGAGAGGTCCATAATCATCCAATCAGAGCAACACGTTCCAGACCGAGTCGACTTGTTCGCCCTCCAGCTTGGCTCCACAGCTTCTCCGCAAGAAATATTTGGAAATTTTGTTTGTTCATGCTGGAGTTTTGCCTTTTTTATACCCGACTGGTTGATTTATTTTACGCACAGCGAGTCAACGAATGTTGAGCAACAGGAAATAACTCAGAAGTGTCCAAGTCGCCCCGTGTGATGTGGGTGTCTGGGCCCGTCAGCAGTGCAGTGAGGCATCTGAGTACACACACTCAAATACACAACCAGATGCCTCCAGCTTCACACACACACTCTCTCTCTCCAGCATGCACACACACTCGCAGCAGACTCCCCTGCGATGCTGTCCTCACATCACCTCTGAGTGGCGGCTGTAGTTTCTGCAGTCGTCACGCCGCCGAGCTCAGACGCAAATGTCCCTGAAAATCATTAACAGAGAGCCATTTTCAACATATCCAACAGGGGAAAAAGTCTTTGTATTGGAAAAAGAAAAATGGAAATATCCTTCAGCGGGAGCTCTGCAATGCTGGAAAATGCTGTTTATAAGCGTCTAACAAGAAAAATTATTTCAGAATAGAGAAAAAATCTTTGTTGGTGTCAGAAGAAAACCACTCTGATGTATGAAAAAGTCCTGAACAGTGGAAAAAGACATCCTTGATGTTTGAACAAGGAGATCTGTGACAAGAGAAAAAGAGTCAGTGCTTCAGATCTTTACTCAGAATTTTGCCTTTTGCTCTAAAAGAAAAAAACTCTTGTCAATCAATGATTTTACTCTAAAGAAGATCAGCAATTTCAACAACATTCAGAGAAACGTTGGTCATCAAAGTTTTATAAACTTTTCACCCTTTCAATGTCAACCAAACCGCCAGTGTTTTGAACTCTTATTGATTTTTGCAACGTTGGAATTATTTCCGCTGCAGAACTTCTGTCAGATAGCTTGCACAAAAACAACCAAACTAATAAAGCTTTTCTCCCAAAGATCTTGAAGGGTTCAGGAGAGGAGAGCAGCTCTGAAAGCTGTTTGATTTCCCCTCTGATGTTCTTGTTTAAAAAGATAATTATCTCTTCCATTTGCAGGGTCAGTCGAGGGTTTCTCAAAGTGGGATTTAAGCTTGTAGACTTTTAAAAGGAAAGCTTGTCAGTCACTCAGCTGGTTTTACTTTTTGAAATATCTAAAGAGAGACACCAGAACTCTCAAACAAGCTTGAAGTTACTGTCAGGCCAGTGGAGAGATGTTTCAGTCATCTGAGGTCTTTCAGTCCAGCCCTCTCCTAGAAATTACATTCATATATAACAGCAAATACGTTTTCAGGGAAACGTGATGCCGACCGAAGGATGTTTTCTATGAACATAAACAAGAAAATGTTCATTAACATAAACTGACTCTGACAGAGTATTTCATTTTTTGTCCTTTAGTGTCTTTATTAAAAAATCCGCAGTGACTTGAGACTTACGATTTTTTATTAACCGCCATCAAACCCAACTGCCTCCTTACGACTCCACCACGTTCCATAGATGAAGTGTTTGAAAAAAACGTATCTGAACATAATCCAGGCAAAAACAATCTAATAATACACAAACTTAATTTCTAGGAGGCCGGGTTGCTCACTCTCTGTTTTCTATCCCGCAGCTATAAATCTTTTTGCTGACACATCCAAAATCTCTGCAATCCAGTTATTTAGCCCGTATTACGATTTCCTGATGTGGTTGTGGCTCTACCACACTGGAAAACACAGAGAGACTCAGCAGAAGTCAGCAGATCTCACCACTGTCATCTGTCGCACAGACACTCCGCAGAGATCCAGATGACGAAATTGGGCTCTTCAGATCTTAAACTAAAGAAGACCAGGAAAGGGTCGGTCATCGGCTGCTTCTTTAAATGAGAGAGTTTGTTGATGGGAACGTGGGTGGCGGAGAGGCGACAGCTGCTGCAGCTGTTCTCGAACTGATCCCAGGAGATAAAACCACATACTAGCCACTATTTATATGATCTCTCAGGTTTGATCTATGCACCGTGTTCCCAGAAAGTACTTGCTAATTGTTTTTTCATTCCATAACACAAACATAACTAAGCTAACAGGTCAGCTAGCTGCTCAACGAGGAGACGTTACAGCTACCGGGGACATTCACTCTGGACCACATATCCTTTCATCAATGATGGCATTTTTACAAGCTTTTGGCAACGGGCAGCTAATTCTTTTTTTATGTATTTATTTAAAAAGGGACATTTTCAGGATTCATATTCAGGTTTTCTTAATGTTACAAAAAATATTTAGTAAAATTACATAGACCTTTTTTTCATCTTTGTGTTTGCATCATTTTGAATTTGAATTCAAACAGTAAATGTGTGTTTTTATTTATACAATACTGCTTAATTATTCCACTGTAATTATGATGGTCGTTAAATTGACACTATAAGATCCAAAGAACAAACATATATCTCTGTGGACTGTGGTAATTACAGAGTTCTCTCCTCTCCAGCACACATTATACAATATATTGTTATTCTAGGCAGCGATTTCATTTTTATCAAATACACCGTGATACTGATATACCCAGGTACTCAAGAAGAAGTAAGGTTACTTATAGACAAAAAAAAAAGATACCGGTAATCAGTACTGGTGACTATGTCAGGCACTGGACTGCCAGACAAACCAGTGGTCCAGCCTCCTTTACTGCCGTCCTCTGTGACTGGTGATGAAGAAAGGTATTAAAAGGTGAGGTGGGCTGAGTCATGACCGTGTTGTAGCTGCGTTTCCACCGCAGGAACTGCTGATATTTAGCTTTATAGTCGAATCTAACTAATTTGAACAGCCAAATCCGATTCGACTGACAAGACTCTGAATCGAGTACAGCTTTAACACCAGCTGTCAGGTATCGGCTCATTGATTGACAGAACAAACACAAAAATTAGCAAAAATCCAAATAATGCAAATGATTATAAAATGACTTTTATGCAGAACATCTCCAGGGTTAGATTCAAACAGTAGCTGCAGCTGGTCGTTCAGATGCAACAGGTGCCAAACTCCGCAATCCCCAAATAACCCTCCAGATCTCCTCCTACTGAGGAAAACCACCAGGCATTTTGTTTCACTCACCGAGTCCTATAAGTGGCTCCTGGAGCCGGTTTGTGCACCTTCTCAGGAGCCAATTCTTGCAAATTACCTCTTTCGGTGTCAGCAAATTGACAGCAGACAGTTGAAGTCCTCCGGCTGTTGGAGCCGTGGTGTTCAGCAGGCAGCTTTGTGAGCAGAAGTCTCACAGGATGCTGGAGATCCAAAGGGTTAAATAACTATTGAAGTTAAAAGCAGAAGACGCTCTGCAATCCAGTCGCCTACAGGGTTTCCAGTGATCTGTTCACAAACTGCTTGTGGATCCTTCAGTCGTCTGGTTGGCGTTTGAAGTGATCACCAGTGAAAACCAGGAATTAACCAGGATTAAATTGCTTCTTTAATTGTCCAGAATAAATTATAAAACTGTTTGTAATCCGTCGTTGATTGTCCTTGAAAACCACTTCCTTTTCCTTGATTAAAACCCCAGATTCTGTTATTTAACTCTTCAACAGCTCCTCATATAAACTGAAGGAGAGTCAGCAGGTGTCCAGGTCATTGGCACAGTCCAGATAACTTCTCTTTCCCATCATAAAACTGCTGACTTTAAAGTGATGATCAGGATTAACTCTGGTTTGTAACAACTGAAATCATTTAAAAGCTCAAATCTCAAAGAAAGCAGCAGACTATAAAAAACTATCTACTACAGCTCCTGGAATAATTCACAGGATTGTATCCAGATTAATCCAGATTACTAAACTTCTCTTCCTCCAAAAATCCAAAAATCAGGAGACATTAAATTAACTGAAGATGAGATGTGCAAAGTCCAGATCATTAAACTTCTCCCTCTGTGAGAAATAAATCATAAAACGGTCTGCAGGCTCTTCAGATGTCTGGTTTGATCAAGAAGTCTGAATTCTGGCACAGAGAGCTGCTGGAGGAGCAGGTCTTAGTCCATAAAGATGCTCTGGGAGATAAACTGTGACACTTTTCCAGCAGGAGACGATCCGGCTGTCATACTGTCCTTTAAACCCTGATCCTGGACTGTCAGGCAGCTCCTGGCGGCTCCTGCAGACGGCTGCTGTTACGGCTGCTCTGGTCTCTCCTCACACTGCTGCTGCCTCTCTCCTTTCCTCCTCTCTCTCTCTCAGCTGAGTGCCTTAGCTGCTTGGGCTGGTGTGTTGGTGTGTGTGTAGTTCGCTCAGGCTTGTTAGTTCAGCCATTCCTCTTCCCTGTTCCCTCTCAGTCTGCTGAGCACTTCCAGCTGTTTTCTTTCTCTTTCTTTCCCTACGAGTGTGTGTGTGCGTGGTAGGTTGTGTGTGTGTTGTGTATGTGTGTGTCGTGTTGTGTGTGTGTAGGTGTGTGTTTGGTGTAGTGTGTGTGTGGTGCTGTTTTCAGGAGCAAGGAGGCGCGTCCACCTGGAGTCCCTCCGTCGTGCAAACTGGAGAGACCTCCCCTCTCTTCCTCTCCTCTTCACCTCTCTCAGCCCCATGCTGTATATATTTTCATGGCTACTGAAAAATTAACCATTCGTATATCCTACAGTACCTCTCTCTCTCTCTCTCTTTACTCCCCCTCCTACCCCCATTTTTACCCTGTTTCCACAGCAGCAAATCTCTGCTAAGGTTCAGTCCCCACATTCAGCTTCTCAGAACCTCGCCAAATTAAAATGTCCCCCCCTTCCATTTATCTCACTTTCCTTTTCTTCTTCCGTTTTTCCTTCTTTGCTTCCTCCCTCTTTTTCCCTCTTTCTCCCCCCAACCCTCACTCCTGAGCCATACATGGCAAGCGCTCCAATAAAAACAGCTCAGAGGCCCAGGGCATGTTGGTAATTGCCCTATTTGTAAAAATGCCAATAAAGTTCTGCAAACAGCCACTGCTGAGGCCGCTCGATGTGGGGTTGCATCCGCTGAAGGGGTGAAAAGGGTTTGAGGAGGTTATTTTTAAAATGCACTGATGTGTGTGTGTGTGTGTGTGAAGTAGGAACAGAGAGCAGACTGGTAATTACTGTTTATATTAAAGCTGTATTTAGCATTTTGTGGCCAGTAGAGGGCAGAAAAACATGGGGGGTCACATGAAAAACGGAATATATACATTAGGTCTCAACGTTTCATTCATTTCTGTGAAGAAAACTAAATGAAATTGTTGTTTTTATTGTGATTATTATTTAAGATGATAGATAAACAGTTCAAACAATCAAAGAGCTGATAGAACAATGAGAAGAAAACAATGAATTTGAAGCATATTAAGTATGCGTGATTGTTAAAAATACAAAATATAGACCGAATTGTATAAATCCCTAAAAATAGCTAATCTCTGATCAATATTCACAGGAAATGAAAAACTCATTACAATCTCTCTCTCTGTGTTCACTGTTTGTGTTCATTGTACAGTTTATCAGCTGTTCTCTGCTGTTATTGTTGAATATAATAAGATAATATGTCACTAGAAAAGTAGGTTCTTTAAAGGTCCAGTGTGTAAGATTTAGTGGCATCTACTGGTGAAGTTGTAGATTTTCAAACGTGTAGATTACAGCCAAAAAACACCAGAGCCAGTATTTGGTTTGTCCTCTAAAAATGTCTCATTCTAAGGTAACGATTCTTATTTTCAGGTGATTATACACTAATGAAAACACACCTATGGATATTATATTTCTGACAATAGATCGTCCTCATTGTTACACACTGGACCTTTAAAGGTAAAATGTTGGTGACCACTGACATGATAACGCCTGAGGAAGTTCCATTACCTTTGGATATGGTCAAAAGCTCTGGAAAAAGCTAGCAAGTGAACCTTGAAATTTAGAATTTTTCAAGGTTCCCAAGGTCAGGAATGAACCTTCACACTCAGATCAAGATAAATATTAAACATTTGCTGGTTACACCTTTGAAAGTATTTCTTTTATACCATTATAATACCTATAAATCTCTATAAAACTCCAGTCTGTGAGTTAGACTGAACTCTGGATGTGTTATTGCCATCATTACCCATCAGGCCACAGCAGGCCTCCCTCTGTCACCCACTCTGTCTTTTGGATTAATGTTTGCAATCTTCGCACTAACTGCAGAAAGCAGCGAGGGCAAAGACAAGAATACAGACACAGTTAAGAGACTAGCCGGTGAACATAGTGGAGCATTAAGCAGCTTAAGAGACAGATATTTCCCTCAGGGGCTGGTGGAGACCAAAAACAGAGCTAAAAGAGAGTGAATATATTCATCAGTTGGACACAAACACAACTCCAGTGTGATTCCACTAACCTGGAAAACCTGGAAATTTTAGAGAATAGTATATACAATCATGAAAACACCTGGAAATAACCAAGTATCCTGGAAATAACCAATGTTGCCCTGAAACATTTTCCTTTGCTGTGGCTGAATTATTGTTACAATTAGAGGATGACCAGATCCCAACAAACCAAATGTGGGACAAAAAGCATGTTTGTGTGGGTCAGTTAGCAGTGCTGAGAGATGCTGAGAAAAATGTCTAAACGTGTATTCTGCCCGTTGTGTCGTAACATCACTGTGCCCTCTGGTTGATTAAGCATCATACAGTAACACACTGGTGAGGCCTTTAGCATGTGAAGGACTTCACAAATATATTTTATTTGAATGCCAACTGCCCACACTCCCATGCTAAGCAAATACAGTATAAAAGGAAGCTCAAGTTTCACAGCTTCTGCATCTGCACAGCTAGTGACTTTTCGGTGACTCACAGTTTTGTCCGCTGGGCGTAGCAGAGACGGTCCCATGATGACAGCCTTCTCTGCTTTCTTCACAATCATTGGATAAAAGCCAGGATTCAGAATGCGTCCATCCTGCAGTGGTTTGACTTTTGAAAACTAGAGCCAATTAAAATGTGGGACATTGGATAAAAATGCTGTGCAATCCATGACTATATTCCACAACTAGAGATTTGGATGAACTCTGAATTCTGTTATTTTTAAGAACTTTTTATACAATCCTATGTTGACATATTAGCCTAGTGTGTATATTTTTTTACGTTTTGTGACACCTCTTAAAATCAAGAAAGCCTTGCAACTCTCCATGAAGCTTCGGCGACCCCTAGTGGGGGTCCAGACCGCGAGGTTGTGAACCAGTGTTGTAGAACATGCTTCCTCAACTGGTGGGACCCAAAAGCAGATCCCGTAGTTCCTGTGTTCCAACAAATCATAGATTAAAATGGTGAGTGCAATGTAATTATTACCGATAATATGTGAAAATTATACACGATGTTCGTCTCTAGTAAGCGACACCCTGTTTTTAACGGTGGTTGAAAATCATCTGGTATGTTTTGTTTAGCTTGAACAAGTTGAAGGCAGACATGATGGGAGATCAATACATCTGACAGATTTTCTAGTAGCGACCAGCAGCTGCGGCCCGAGCAGACAGCTTCTCTGAATATTCAAGCAGTCGAAGCAAGGCGCGTTTTGTCCCCGTAATTGCCAATTAAACCATCTGCTGTTCTGCGAGCTTGTCTTCGCAGCGTTTTGGCAGTCGATCACAGAGCAGCGTTCTCGTTAACATTATCCTCTCATCTGAGCCGTCGCGTTACAGTCAGCCACTTATCAGAGCCTCCTCGTTAGCCGCAGCCAATTATCTGAGGTCGCCTGTTTGGGGCAGGGACTTATCTCACAGGTACGTTAATTGACTAAAACACATATTCAGAAAATTGCTGGCTTAGCAAAAGTCTCAGAGATTCTCACCTTCATGTTTTCTCAAGTTCAGTTTGAGGTGTTGCGCAGGAGAGAAGAAACAAACTTTTAATGCTGCTTGAATCAGGTGGGACATGGAATTATTCATTGAAACATGCATTTGCATTGAAGGGATTTACAGACACGCACAGCTGCCCTTGAAACACTGGCTGAATGCATCAGTGCACAAAGTCAGGGAGTTCAGTTATTGGTAGCACAATGTATGCCAGGTTGCTCAGTCAGGCTGTTAAATTCACTGGAGTCACAGAGTTGTGTTGCAGCTCCTTCTAGTGGCTGCTCCTGAGAATTACAGGAAATTATGATATCAGGAAGCAAGCAGGGGTGTTTGACTGGGGGTGGCACAAGTGGGGCACTGACTTATGCAGGGGTGGTATGAAGTATGTGTCTCAGCTTTCCAGTCATACTAATTTAGAACCCATTTTCATTCAGATATATTGAGGTCAGAGGTCAAGGAATCCCTTTGAAAATAGCCATGCCAGTTTTTCCATTGCCAAAATTGAGCCTAACCGGAGTATTATTCAGCCTCTGTTCCGACATGCTAGAATGACACAGTTGGTACCGATGGATGCATTAGGTCATCTAGTTTCGTATGATATCAGTTCACTCTAGTTTTAAAATGTGACAGTGCAGAGTGGAAGAGGGAAGGAAAATGGGGTGGTTCTCTGGAAGAAAGTGGAGGAAAGAGTTAAAGGAAATGATGAAGGGAATAATTAACGACTAAGAGAGGAAGTGGATGGTAGAATTTCATCTTGGATGGCTGGTTGGTCAGACTGATGTTTTGGGGCATCCGTAACAACAACAATGTGCCTGTTATTTGAATTCCTACAGTAATAAGACAAACACTGGCACATACAGGATTTTACTACTGGCAACTACCACTTCCAGCTTAAATGTTATTTTGTTGTACAACCGTGTGTTGTGTAAGGATTTCCTTGATCCTTAATTTGACTCTCCCTTGTTCTGTTTTTGCAGTTCCTAGTTGTGACCACTAGATGTCAGTATGAGCCCATGTTCTTCAGCAGCAGTGATGAGCTGTGGCGCCATGAACATCAGGGGTTAAAGTGTGTGCTTTTCTATGTTTATTAAATAAAGCAGAATTGAAGTTACACGTAATAATTAAGGTTCATTAACTGTGTTCATTTTGATCATTCTGAGGTTCACAAAGAAGAACTTACTCAGGAGTTCGTACTGTGTGTTTCCAGAGAGTCTGACGCCGCTGCAGACCAACAAGTTTCTATTTCCACTACGAGAAATATGTCACATAAAATCATCAGTACTGCGACAATCCAGGATGCTGTTCGCTTTAATCGTACATGAACAAGATAAATTGAACTTTTTCCAAATAAAAAGTATAACACACTGCAGGTCTCAAAAGGTTGTTTTACTGTATTTCATTTTCTGTATGTGTGCTTTTTTAAACCCTCATCATTTATTTGACTGAACTCGGTGTCGTAGCAACACTGACAATAATTAATAAACACATTTTTTTCACATTTAGGGTTCAAAAACTGCTCATTTTCAGAATTATTCAAAAAAAAACTTCAGTTTGGGGAGTTGATGTTAAATTTAAACTGTAGACATATTCTACACCAGTGATCCTGACTATTAATAATTCACACATCAGACAGGAAGCATTTATGTTGGAGGAATTTCTTTGTGTCTCCAGGTGTTAATCCGCCTCTGCCTTTAATTGATTGGGCTGAAGTTGTCTTCGTTCTCTCTGATTGGCTCGTCCAGCTGCCGCTCTGCATTCCAGCTCCTGTTGGAAGAACAACAGTTAAACTCAGGTATTCTGGTCACGTGACTTCATGCCAACATTAAAAAATAAAATAAACTCATCATCTGTGTCAAAATCCAAAATGGCAGCAGGAAGAAAAACACTTTTTTTCATTTTATTATATTTTTTGTGGACTTTGTTTCAGACAATGATGGTTTGTAGTAATTATTTTATTTCACAATTTATTTATTTATTGGTTTTATTCCATATTTTAATATATAAATACAAGTTTTTACCATCAATAATGGTCTATATTACAAAAAACTTTATTGCTGTATAAATAAAGGTTTTGCTCAAATAAAAGCTGTATAAATATGGCTGGTGTTTTACTGTTACAAAAACTATATATAACCTATTTAGAGTCTTTTCCTGTCATGGTTTAACAGTTTTTTACTGTAATATGAAATTTTTACAGTGACAGCATTTAAATTAACACATTCTTGTGTTTTACATGCACATTTTAAATACTTATTTATATATATAAACTTAAAAATTAGACTATTTGAGTGCAGGAGTTAAAGATCTTGTTTTTCCATCATCAGCAAAACACTTAAATACTTAAGAGATGCAAAAAAAAAAAA